CATCATTAGGCCATGATAAAAAAATAATTTGTTGATCGTACTTTCAAAAGAAAAGACAGTATGGAGTGTTTTTTTAGGCAGTAATGAAATCACCCCATTGATACATGCCAAGTCTTCAAATCCAACATGGAGGGCAAGGCCTCATGTAAATGGTGGCTGACTTTGCTGGATCTTCAAGTGTAGCGTTTGATCAGCTGTAATTTATACGAACAATTGAAAGACAAAATAATTACACACACACACACAAATGAAATTATAGTTGGAAAGACAATATTTTCGTGAGTTTTGGCGAAAATAATGGTAAAAAAATGGTCGGGTGATTATTTAAGTAGGGAGGGGACGATCAACAACTTTTTTTTACATGGCCTTATCCTTAAACTCGTTCAAATCCAAGCTAAATACCTTTCTTTTTCATCAAGTTTTTCATTAATTTAACATGACGTCCTTATTCTGTTTTTTTATGTACAGCGCATTGAGAGCTTACTTGCGTTGCGCAATTTGAGAATGAACTATTATTATTATTATTATTATTATTATTATTATTATTATTATTATTATTATTATTATTCCATGCTATTATAATTTTTATTAGGGTACCGTAAGTACCCGGTAAACCCTTTATACAATGCCGTTATTATTTTACTGATGTTAGATGTTTACTGTTGTACTAACCATGAGTCACGGTTCACTACTGAATATATGTACCTCAGCTTACCACTAATTGACAGGTAAATGACCTAACAGATTTATTGCATACTCTGTAAAGTTAAACAAATGGCCCTCGGGACTCTTGCATATCCCATATAAGGAAGTAAAGATGCCTTTTAACTGAAATAGAAATGACATCACTATCAACTATGGCCATATAAGGTTCTTTGATTTTTGTGAATGAATTTCACTCTTATCAGATTGTTATTTTTACATCCTGTACAATGTATAAATAGATTATGATTTTGGCTTTTTAACACGCGCATTAGATACACATTGTTTAGTACATCCAGCTGAGCTAAAGTTCAACTGTACCGTATATTCGGATATACTGAATAAATGTTCCCTTATTTATCAACCACTTTTGGGATTGCCGAGTCATTGTGTAGCTACACACAATCGTCACACACGCAATCCTCCCTCATTATTCCAATAATTTCATAAACATTTAATTATAATTACATTATAACAAATTAATAATAGGCCTAATAATATTTATTATTATTATTATTATTATTATTATTATTATTATTATTATTATTATTATTATTATTATTAATAATAATAATGTTAAATCACAGTATAATTCTCACTTCTCCAACGGTAAACGCGCTTATATTGCAAAAGTTACCACAATACGGAAACATTCCCCACTCCAGCTGTGGAACAAACCCATGCCTCACCTCTGTTAGGACATTTCTTATATTCCTGTCGGAAATGTTTCCACCCATGGAAATAATTCCCCACTCTAAACAATTTAAAGATTTGAAAGGCTTATTTAATCGAGTCTCACATTCTGTAAAATTACGTAGATTTTCCCAATGCGTTTATCCCGACAGGGGAGGGGGAAATTCCGCCTCTTGCGGTCCTACCAATGCGTGGGACCCCTCTCTGTGATAGATGTTTTTATACCTCCATGGTCAGGGCATGCATGATCAGGGTAAGTCGCCGATGGATGATGCATTCATAGATCACAGCCAGGCCTAAACTGCTGCTCAAGCTGCACGACCGGAAGTTACTGTATACCGCCCTGGATTAAGCAAACCAAGGTCTTGTTTTTTCGAATGCGCGCTATAATAATTTAATACTTAACATGTTTTTTAGCTGGGTAAGTTCGACAGTGGTTGCTTTTTTAGGTTTTCAGACTCGTGGTTGGTCGGAGTCTCATATTGTCTACTTGCGGTCGGGCTTAGTGGACGTGCTCAAACATGCCCAGTCTTACAATGCAATTCGGCTACGGCGCACTGGCATTTATTTGGGTCATACGAGATCCAACGGACCCATCCAACGTTTCACAGAGCCATGTTATAGGATGTCTTTGCCCTGCATTCTCTAACAAAATAAAAACAAGCACTGTATTATAAGAAAACAAGCTTTAAAGCTAGTATATTATTAAGCGTTATGTTATCTTCCCCACTCTCTCCATAAAAGTGATTTCCTCGTTGCCATGATAATACACATTCCATTCCATTAAATATTAGAGAGTTTCGCAAGCTTACTAAAACGAGAACGAATACGGTTACGTCATCAATTTCTAAGACAACTCTTCCCCTACAATAGCATATAGCACAGAATAGGCGATTCATGCCTTTTACATGAATCAGGGATCATATTCAGCTCATACAGCGGCTTTACGCACGAATGACGATATAAACGACAATAACGTATTCGTATTTGTTATCGTTTTCGTAAGGTTGCGAAATCTTCCTATTATGAATTTCGATACGAGTATAAAATAGAAGAATAAGTAGCTCAGCGAGGCCTACTCGGAGGATACTATAACACAATGAGTCACATAATAGGAATGGATGTAGTCGAGGCAGTCGATGTATTAATTATCCTAACGGTACCAGTACCTTTAATATCCTGATTCTATAACTTGACTTTTCTGCATTCATTGGTTTACGCAGGATAATACTAAAGGAAGTATTCATACCGATCTCACCAAATAAGGTATCAAAAATTACTGCCTTTCCCGAGATGTACAGTATTGCATTGAAGCATAGGCCTATGTATAGAGAGAGATTCCAGACAATCGCTCTAACGGGCTCTTTTCAACGACCTTTAAACTAGCAAGGAAAGTAATTCTTTGTACAATAAGCTATAATTGTTAAGAGACCACGTTATAACAAATACAGATTTTAATGCAGTTTTTTTCGATAATTTATGTGGTTATGGCAGCATACATAAAAATAATGCAAATCAATATATACCAGGGGCCCGGGGTGTTTGCCACGGGTGTTACCGGTACGCAACTGAAGGTGCTAAATACCAAATCCGGAAGTGGTCTTTAATTGGTCTAAATTAACAGCAGGTGGTCTGTTAAGTTGGAATCCATCTTGGGGCATTCTTTCGCGCTCGCATATTCCACTCTTTCTTAAACGTTGTATGGGCCTATATACATTAGAAATATCAATGCAATGAGATGATATGTTTGAAATTCCTAGGAAGTTTGTACATTTATTTAATGTGTTTAAAAGCACCGTAACCTACACCATGATGTCACCAGTGGCGTATCTAGCAGTCCGTGATACAGCATGATGTTGGAATTAACAATGTCAATAATATTAAGTTAATTAAACCATTGAAAAAATAATGTCTTTAGTAAACTGCTGAACACTGGTAAATATTATCATAAGCAAAAGCATGATGCTTGACTAATGAGAGGATTGGTATGACACGCTTTATTATTGTATATCTTCTTTTACAACATCATGCTGCTACTTATATCAGTCAGTGAATGAAACCGTGGTTGTACTTCAGTGCGTCCGCAGCCGCCTTACGTATGCAGCGGATGACTAAGACGTACCAAGGCAGTACTATACAATATTCATAAACGAATAGGCATAGTAATGATACCATCTGTTCGTGCATTTAAAGAAAATGAAAAAACTGTAAGCGAACAGAATATTTCATTCCATGCAGGTAACAATCTTCTCAGGAATATATCCTCTCATTGCAAATAGTTATAAACAACGATTGAGGAGTGTATACGGGACTCGCTACCTCGGAGTGAATCATAAGATTGTAATTTCACACCAATTTCACAATACAGAATGAGTGGCATTTTTTCACGATCCCACACGCAAAGGAGTCTATTATGATTTATCGTCTCTCAAGAACTTGTAAAAAAATAATTGGTTAAAAACAATTATTTTTCATAACAACATTTCCAAGCCGATATTGAACAATAAACATGGAAGTGTTACAGTAACGACGGAAGAGGTTTGACTGTGGGCGTGGCTTGATTGTCGCTGGCTACTTAAACCTACTGTAATATGACGTTAGAAAAAGTTTCAATATTTAAGTGGAATTTTTTAATGTAACCGGTTCAATCATTGAATTGTCACGTATTTATCAATGTTATTCTAAATTCGACGACGATGAAAAATAACAGACTATAGAATCTATTATAGGAAACTGCCATGTCGCATGCATTTTGTTATGGCTTGACTCTTTATTTATTGTTTAGCTTTTGTAAATAATTTAACGTAGTTTAGTCATTTCGAACAATAAATATTTATTTTTATTAGTGAAATAAAAATTACTTGATTGACAGCTTAATTCAGATAGTCGAGTCAAATGTAAATCCCAATCAAGCCGTTCTGTTGCCACATACATACGGGTTAAGCCTTCAGAGGCTATGTATTGTGTTAAAAAGTTATTTTTTGTTTACACCATGGAACACCAAAATTGGAACAGACATACTGTGTTTTGATGTAATTGATGTTCAGAAAATTATCTTGTTTCGTGGGCCCAGTGTTTTTGAAGATCTAGGCTTACTGTTCGCTTTCCATGATCCCTCTAATTCCAAACGAAATCCCTCTAATTGTTAGATTGTAGGCCTAGGTACTTTTACAAAGCACCAACTAACAACTTTACATTTTTTAACAAAAAAATATTACCGTACCTTCTCATGAGACCGAACCACGACACCACTCCAGTTTTTTAGGTCCCAAGGTGGTCTCGAGTTTGAGGGCGCTGTATTCATTTTATTAGTTTTGTTTCATTACATAAATAATTCCTTTCTACTCCTCGGTGGTACTTGTATGTACAGATAACGTTGCATTGCACATTACTAAAATCAAACAATAATCTTCATTTTGAATATCAAAAAGGCCTCCAAATTTACCGAGGAGAATCATACAGAGGTCCGTAACGACTGACAAAAGAAGTAACGGCGTGGATATATTAAACACAACATCATCCAAAACTGTAGCTAGACCAAAGACATTGGACGAACAATTAATATTGATAATAATATTAATATAATTTAATTTTCAAATATACAGGTGTTGATGTGTCTGCTAAACATGCCCTCGATACAGATGTTGAAGAAGGAACATTTAACGACAAAGAGACATGGCAACTGGAATATGTGGATGGTAAATGGGCAGTTCGTACGGCAGAAGATAAATACTGGGAACTGAAACCTACTGGTGGAATACAAGCAGATGCCGGTAGCAGGTAGGTACCGATACTTTCTGCAGTAGAGAGCTTTCGATTTTGCGCGATGATGTAACTTTAGAATGGATTCACCTACTGTACGTTCTCTGCGCAACGTAGATTCGGGCCGAACTGCGTCCTTGAATCCAGGCGACAACGAGACTACCACGCGCAGATGATTTCATAAGGTCCTACTGTCGTCGCGCACTCGAAGCTCCCTACGGTAGAAAAAATGGAACAAATTGCTACAAGTTTTAACAATCTTACTTGTGTAGTATCCAGAATTGCTACCGCGGTGCAAGCTTGAATCATAAATGTATTTTTCTACATATTAATAGACTCTAAAATCGATTAAATAAGCCTTTGAAACCTCTAAATTGTCAAAACTTTCGAAAACTTTTATTCGAAACTCGACCACGCCCACTTTGCTTTCGTCGGGGAAATCTGACCCCTCTTTGGGGGCATCATCGGGTTCCCCCCTGTCGGGGACTTCCGCCACCCCTGGACCAAATATTATATTATTTTTTGTACTTTTCATCTTTGTTACAGAAGCAACAGTGGCTGCAAGTTCGAGTTATCTCATCACGAGAACAAGATTGCTCTGAAGGGTGACAATGGGAAATTTGTCAGGCCAAAGGAAAGCGGACATCTTTATGCTAATGCTGATGGAGCCGATCCTGCAGAAAAAGATTTATTTATCTTCCAGATGGTAAACCGCCCTCAATTGGTTCTGAAGGGAGTGCAGGGCTTTGTTGGTCATGGGTCAAGATCTAAAGTGGAATGTTCCAAACCCCGATATGACGTTTACAAGGTCACATGCAAGGATGGTTACTACAACTTGCAAGGTAAATATTTTTTAAGTAAGGCTAAAAATGGTGTTGTCCAGGTTCAGTGACAATTTTGGAAATAGTGCCAGAAAACAATCGTAGAGGCCATCTCAGAAAGCATCGTCCGACTCAGCCCGACGATATTTATCGTCGTCGGGGACGGTTTTTAGGTCGTCGTGAGAATATTAAACATGGTCAATATTCTACGACATGGTCGTTCCCGATGCAGAGCCGACACGACAAATCGCGTCTGGAAGCGTCGTACAACGCTGGTTGAATTTGTATGGTTAATGACTACTGACCACTAACCTTGTGAATTTTTGCTGTTAACCAATGAGATGAGGCTGTCTCTTATACACATCTCAATAAGCTATAATTGTTAAGAGACCACGTTATAACAAATACAGATTTTAATGCAGTTTTTTTCGATAATTTATGTGGTTATGGCAGCATACATAAAAATAATGCAAATCAATATATACCAGGGGCCCGGGGTGTTTGCCACGGGTGTTACCGGTACGCAACTGAAGGTGCTAAATACCAAATCCGGAAGTGGTCTTTAATTGGTCTAAATTAACAGCAGGTGGTCTGTTAAGTTGGAATCCATCTTGGGGCATTCTTTCGCGCTCGCATATTCCACTCTTTCTTAAACGTTGTATGGGCCTATATACATTAGAAATATCAATGCAATGAGATGATATGTTTGAAATTCCTAGGAAGTTTGTACATTTATTTAATGTGTTTAAAAGCACCGTAACCTACACCATGATGTCACCAGTGGCGTATCTAGCAGTATTAAATATTAAATATGAGGGGGGCGTGGAATTTATTTTCAGTGGCCACGCCCACTAAAAAAATATTGCTTCTTAGATTCCTGAATACACGTTAACCGTGACAGCATAAGCATAAGCGTAGCCTAATTTTTTTTGCTTCGAAGTTCTCGA